TGCCTGCATCCTTCGTTCTTGATTCAACCTTTGCCACTGAGGCCTGGGGTCCAGGAAACCAGTTGGAAAAAATGGAGCTATACCAGCTGAGGGTCTGGCCCAGTACATGCATGTTTAGACCACACATCAACACGCGGAGGGAATGGATTTAAGAAACTCATTTCAACTTGGCTGGCCCAGTTTCATCAAGCAAATCTGTATCCAGGGATGAGCGGCAGTGAAAGCCACTAATTTAATGCATAAACTTAGTGAGGAGCGCAGCATGTCAATTAGTCTCTTGTGTGCGATAATTAGCTCACATCCTACGGCATCACTAAAATTTCGTTAGGGGACGTGGTCACTAGAGCGCTGATCACGCTCTTGGCAGCTTCCAGCTTTCTCTTGGTTTCAAACACGATTTTGTGACCGTCATTCGCTTCTCAGCCAGCGGGCCCAATAATCCAAAGTGCGCCGACCTTTGCAATAAGGTTCCAGCTTCAGCCATGGGGGGAGGGGGTCTGTGTGTGGTTAGGATTGTCGACTAAGTTCTTTGGCCCAGATGCTCTCTTCTTGCCCCCTAAGATATGCTCAGCGCAGCTCAGCTCAGCCTTCTTCTCATGATGCGTTTGTGGAAGCTCCAGCCCATCACCAGCTGGCCGTGGTCTATGTTGTGAATTCGAGTCATTCAGGTGCACGCCACTCTATGCTTCCAGCTCCCTACACCAAGTGAGAGGGGGCAGCTGGCCAAGGAACCAACTAGGCCACTTGATGCCTCTATGCCTGAGTGCTGCAAAGTGGCTGGAGCAGAGGGAGAGAATCTGGACCTTCAGAGGTTATTCAGAGTTGACCCTGGATCAGATGCTGTAATTCACTTTGTGCTATGCCAGAAAACAGGCCATGGGCTGATGCTGAGTTTTGTTGCCTGCTGTAACCTGCTGTGATAGAGTTTTGGACACGCCCCTCTGAACACAAGTAACAGGGTGACGTAGATTTAGATCATTTTTAAACTTAAAAAAAGGCCCTTTGAGCTGGCTTGGATGGGGGAGCCTCAAAGAGAACAGAGGGTTCGGACTCAGATAAACACGCAGCCGTCTGGATGCATCAATCCCTTGCCTGGTATCGGAACATTTGAGAACCTGCAGATGGCTTTCGTTCTAAAACAGAGTCTATTTACATTAGGGGCTGCTACAAATCATAAATAATAAAAACCTGTGCCCCGTGGCTGATGTATTACAGGGTGCGGTACCACTTGCTGCCACTGGGGGGGTGAAATACACGGATCTGTCTAGTTCAGTTTAGCTCCAGGGAGGGAGACCATGGCGCTGGCCCCTTTATGGCTTCTCAGGCTGCTGGCGCGCTCTGATCACCAGCCACCGCCGCACCGCTTTGCCCCGGCTCTGGTGGCGGCCATGACCCAGGCGTTGCTGCGGCCGCGCTTGGTAGCTGTATTTGAGAACGGGACGGATTCCTGTCCGGATCTGAAAGACGCACACGGCCCAAACCAGTCCCCGAGCAGCTGCCTCAGGAGAACAGGGGCAGCCTCCGATCTCGACCGCCACCATTCAGTGGCTCCAGAGCGCAGGTGGAGCCAGGCCGAAACCGCCAAGGGTTTGCGGTCGCTGAAGCTCCGCTGCGTGGTTTAGCCGGCCGTGCTGGCAGCGAGGGTCAATGCGCTGGGCTCCTGGCCCGCTTCGGCACGTGTGCAGAGGCTATTTTAGTGCTGATTAAACAGATGGTGGAAATGTTGCGACCGGGCCCTTTCTACTCGACAGCAGCAGCTCGCTGCGGAGGCACGCGGGGATGAAACCTATTTCAAAGGGCTGGGATCAGCTCAGCCTCGCAGACATTTTGTCAAATAACAAAACGTACAGTGAACGTAATGATCTAGAAAACCGCTGATGCTGAATCCCCTTTGCTAGGGGAAGGGGCGACAGCGGGGCTCGAACCCCCAGATCAGGGAGCATGCACCTCCTTAGCGCTGCAACGAGCACCCTTAGCTCAGGGCATCAGCAGGCTCGAAAGCTGCTGCCCATTGACTAGCCGTTAGAGGGGGCAGAGCCACAGGGTGTGAGCCCAGCGTACGCTAGACGCTGCTTTCTACAGGGGTTTGGGCCACAGGAAACTTTTGGGCCAGGGTAGAAACTAAAACCAGGTCAGAACAAAGCCTCCAGCTCCAAACCCGCCAAATTCCCAAGCGTCCGAGAAAATAGCTTGGGAAGTTTCCAAAGGCCCCCGTGTTTGCAGCTCCGCGGTGCTGCCCGTCTTCCAAGTGAGTCTGGCTGCTGAGAGCACATTACCCCCCTGTGCTTTGCCGGCTTCCTCTGTGCAGCGGGGGCAGGCAAGGTCCTGGTTTAGGAGGGCTGGCAGATGGCTGCATCACAGACCTCTTCTCCTAGGACCCGTCACGGCCGTGAAATAAGGCGGAGAGCTTTTGCAATCGATCCCAAAGGAGTGGTTGGGGTCCTGCCCCAGGCATGCTGGGATGAAAGCCAGGGCCTGTGGAATTCCCCACCTCTCTGTTGTCTGTCTGAGCCCAGGTTTGGTGACCCTCAGGACAGAGGTTAAGCCAGGCAGCTGGGGGAGAGGCCCAGGGTCTGCATGAAGAGGCAGGCACACCCTCAGTTCACCTGGGCGCTGTGCGTGGGTGAGACGCTGCCCTGGCCTCAGCTGTTTGCCCGTTCTGGGCTGTCTAGTGTCTGAGCACGTCCCCTCCCCACACCAGGGAGCTGGGACAGTGTCATCAACTTCAGGGAAGGCAGTTGCTTGGGACACTAGAGCTCTGGGTGCAATTCCCAGCTGTGCCCCTGGCTCCGTGCGGGATCTTGGATCCGTCGCTCAGTTTGGATAACAACCCTTCCTTGGTCAGCCTGGTCTAGGTTGCAAACCCTTCCGGGCAGGGGCTGTTGCAATGGGCCTCTGATCTCAGACCGTGCCTTTAGGGGCTACTGTCCTGTGAATCATCACCATAAACCCAACCTGCCGGCTGGAGCTCAGAGACCCCCGGGCGCTTTCCAGCAGTGAGGTTGGGCCTATTTCAGGTTCTAACCCAGCGGAATCTGCTGGGCCTTGGCGTCCGGTGGGCCTCGCAGTGCAGATTATGGAGAATATAGAATTCTGGGCTGTCTGGGGTGGCCTTGGATGTCCATTAAGTGCTCAGGGCTACATTTAAATAACAGGTCTGGAAGCTGACTGAAAGCAAGGACATTTCACATTGAAGCTGCGTCCCTTGTGCCTGTTTTTCCAGTAGCCTAATTAACTGTCTGAGTTTGTGATTTGAATTGGGAGACAATTGTGGGCTCGTGGTTTGAGCAGGCGGGTGAGCGCTAGGATGGCGCTAGGAGGGGGTTCGAATCCCGGCTCTTCTGCTCAGTGGTGCCTGTGGCCATATGCACATTAGGCACAGGGCGTATCATTGGCATGGGTGCTGATGGGGGGGATAGGGCTGCCCAGAGCAGGAGAGCAGTTGGCCCCAGCTGCCTTGTTTGAGTGGGCCCCCAAACCGAGTGGCATAACTGGCGTTGAGGGGTCGCAGCTCTGCTCAGGTTTGGGCCAATGGCTCCTTGATGGAGGGACCGCTGGGCCAAACTTGAGTGGTGTTGCAACATCCAGAGCGGGGGACCCTCCTGGTGGACCAGAGCCAAGCCGCCGCTGTGGTGAAAAAGTTCTGGGGATGCCCTTTCTGCTACTAACAACATCTGTGGCTTTAAGACGCCCTTTCTGTCTCAGTTTCCCCATTGATAAAGCAGGGATCATACTTGGCTATTTCATAGGGGTGTTGTATGGCTCGTAAAATGCTTTGCAAGTGGAAGGTGCTGAGTAGTAGCAGTGTATGTGGATGGTGGCTGATATACCCGGATCACCCACTATAGTGAGGCAGCCACCTCTGGGGGTGGGTGGTGGCAGCTGTTTAACAGACAGAAATAGATACATATTTTTTAAAACTCCTGGATGGCTTCATGATTCCCTGTTGCTTTGCACACTGCGTGCCATTGACCCCCGTGCAAAGTGAGCGTGAAATACTACCAGCTCAGAATGGTAACAGTTCACAGGCTCACTCTGCACTGGGACAATGACATGAAGAATTGGATCCTGGGTGTAAATGGATACAACTCCACCCACTTCCCAACTTGCCCCAAATCTGACTTTGACAGTGACCCCAGGGTCCTGGTGCCTTGTCCCCAAAGAACCCAGGCTTGTGGCCGTCGCAGCGAATTAGATTTCCCATTCAAACTTTAATAACAAACGAAACGGCGTTGTCCTGAAGACAGCACATGTTTTTCTCTTCCTTCAGTCAGGTGATCCAACAGATGTGAACAATCATTGTCCACTTCCAAAGCCAGTATTTTGGGATCACTAGTGAATGAAAAAGTGACGCGTTGTTTGGCTTTTTGTAACGTACAGATTCCTCAGCGCGCAGTTTCCCCTAGCATGTTCTCCCGCCGCTGTACCACATGCAGGTGGCCGGGGCCGGGTGCAGAGAAGGGCCAGGTGTGCACAGCTCTGCCTTTCGATACGGCTGAGCCCAGATTAACCCTGCCAGGTACTTGTGGGAGCTCAGGTCCCTCCAAACCTGGATTTGGCAAACGAGCGAGGAGAGCTCGCCCAGAAGGATCCAGTGGCAGGGCTGACTTCTGAACTAGCAGCAGCCGGGTGGGAGGGCAGGAAGGGGCAATGGGGGGCAAGACTGAGGTCTGGGATACGTAGCCGCTTAATAATTATTCCTTTCCTCCACCAAATACTGCCCTGTCGGGGCGGCGGGCTGGGATGTTACCCATCACAAAGGAAAGCCAGCGGGGCTGGAGATTGGTTGCAAGAGGGATTCCTTTGAGCCAACTCACTAGCAGGAGCATTTTTGCCAAGGCTGGTGCTTGGAGGGCCCCACGTCACAACACAGGCCTAGAATGTAAAGTGTAGGCAGCCGCTTTGGCAAGTCTGGGCCTGAGCGCGCAGGTACAATGCCAGGCTGCAGCGTGGGGGATACCACCAACATCCTCACAGCCCCTCTGCCTCTTGCCTTGCAGCCGCGTGGAGGCGGAAGCCATCGAGAAGGAGCTGCTGGAAGATTACAAATTTGGTCGGCAGCAGCTGATTGAGATCTGGGGACACGCCAGCGCCATGGCTGTGACCAAGGTAAGAGCAGCGCCGTGCCAGGAGGGGGCATGCCAGGGTTTAGAGCAGGGAGCTCTGGGGATTGTTACTCGCAGGGACCCCGGGTGCAAAGCCAGGGGCTTGGCTGGCATGCGAGCATGCTCCCCTGGGCTGTTATCAGATGTGCTTCCTTTTCCTGTGGTCTCTTTCCCTCTCCCAGCCTGGGTTTTCTGCTAGCTTCCCCGTGCCGGACCAAACGCCAAGTGCAGTTTGTTGGAGGCACAGAAACGTCTGGGTAATTTCCTTCCTCCTCCATTGCTGTGACAGCCACCAGTTTGGCCAACAAAGCACGGATTGCACCAGGGACCTCCGAGCTGAAAGCACAAGTCTCGACAGGATGAGCTACAGTCAGGCTCTGGAGCTGGCGCTGGTTCAGGGAGGGACATGTAATGGGCACTGACCAGTAGGTTTTGCCATCTTCACCTTCCCTGGAGCCAGCTGTGACCAGAATCACCTTGGTATTGGCTGTTTTCATGGTCATTCCCATGTGGACCACAGCCCGAGGCTGTTTTCGTGGGGGTTCCATCCAGGACGGGCTGTTCTTTCCAGCAGACACCAGCATTTTCAAGGCGCTTTGGCTAACGTCAGGACCAAGCACGAACTGCGAACCTGTCCACACTCGCTCATTGCTAGGGTAACCCCCATGCAGCTATTGCAACACGGATTTGCTTTGGGAATCGGCAAACGTGCTGAGGAAACGGGGCCAAGATTTGTCTTGTGCGCTTGCTGGTCTCCTGTCATGGGGGGAAAGACGCTGCCTGGGGGAGGAATGCTCTTAGAGAAGAAGGAATGCTCTTCTTTAAGAAGCTGGGATGGTTCTCCCCAGTTGCTGTCTCAGCCCCAAGGCTGATACCCTGAGAGAAAAAGGGTCAGTTGGCTTCTTGCTCCGGAATTACCAATCTCTCTTTCTGGGAGAATCAGCCAGCGGGGCCTGGGAAGCGCGTCCTCCCCTCAGACACTGGAGCAGGGCAACATTTTTTGGCCCAAACTTTTTTGGGGCAAGAAAACAGATTCGGCAACCCTGAAACAGTTGGTGAATTTGTGTCAAATGGTTCATTTAAAAAAAAAAAAATCCCCCCAAATCCAAATGTTCCATTGCGACATTTGTTTCCATTTTTTGGTTCGAAATGACTCTTTGGAAATTTCCTTCTATTTGATGGTTGAAAAAAATCTCAATGTGCCCCCAAATCCAACCTGAACGTTTAATATCAGATCAAAGGAACCGCTGGGGTTTTAGTTTTGGAATTTCCAAAAAAAAAATTGGAAAAATTCCATTTTTGGTTCGACCCCCGAACAGATTTTTTTTGTCTTTTTCTGATTTGTATGGAATTGTTGGCGAACCAAAAAAACCTGTCATTCACCCAGCTCTGTCAGAGACGCACTCAGGGCCTGGTGTGGCACTGCCTTCTCCCACTATTGATTTCCTTGGCTATTTATTGGCTATTGATTTTCTTCCAGCAAAGCATGCTGGGAATGGGAGGAGTCAGAGACCCTTTAATAGTCCGGCCTCTTCTCCCTGCTGAGTTAGTGTGGAGAGAGCAGGGAAGGAGGCACTGTCTGAGGGTTTTACGGCCTGTTGGAGCTGTACTTCCTGGCTGGAGAAAGCCTTCTGGCTCTTTCCAAGAGGTTTTGGGGAAGTCACCGAGCACCTGTGGGGGACTGGATTCTGGGTAACTACACAGCCACCTGCTCCAACGGTGGCTTTATCTCTGCACTTCTTTATCCCACGGCTTCTAAGGTGAGCAGGACATCCTGACCCAGGACCATGGGCAACGATGGGCCAGTACCGTGTACTGGAGATCTCCTCTCCCATACACACCTGCTACCTACTGAGCAACAGGACAAAACTAACAAGTGGGTCAAACCTGCCTGGACGAGGTCATTCAATAGCCTGTGACACATCCTGGCACTTGTCAAGGCTTTATGGGCTTTACAGAGACACAATGTAGAAGATTTAAAGAGGACATCACTGTTGATGGAGTGTAACATCTGTCAATGTACCGTAGCATCTAGCATCGTCACATGTATCTGCAACAGTCAGGTAGTCTTGCCTTGGAGTGCTTAAGAATGATTATTGCACGTAAAGGACTTATAGCTATATTGCGCCATTCATCCTGAAGGACACCACAGTGCCTTACAAATGTATATACAGGCATTGCTTTGCCAGGCACTGACATGCCCCCGCCTCTGGAGTGGCGCATGGCAGCTGTTTAGTAGCCACATAGCATCGCTCCACGCATCCGAAGGGCCAGTTCCTCATCTGTCACTCCATTGATGCCAGTGGAGCTAGATTGATTTACACCAACTGGGGATCTGGCTGGAAGTGAAGGAGACTACCATCTTCCCATTTAACGAGTGGGCTGGGCAGGGAGGCGTGGGAGTTAAGGAGACAGAATGCAATGATCCAAACTGAAACTCTACCAGGACACAGGGTGTGATGCCCCTAGCCCTAGCGCACCTGAAAGGGTTTGAGTCAACAGATGTCTAGCAGCTAACAGCTCGTTAGTGGAATAAACCAGTCTGCAGACAGCTGTTTTGCTGCGGGTTCCCGGCTTCCCTAAGGGATGCGAAGTGCAAAGCTACTGAAAGGTATGTGTGTGGGTGGGTGAGTCAGCTCCACTCCTAACTACTGCAGCAGAAACTTCTGCTCCGTGAGACGCTGTTGCTTTTCACTTTGGATCGTCAGCCGAACTGTCACAAGCCCCCACGTCTGAGTCGGTTCAGTCTTTGATTCCTGCTTTCACCTGAACATAGCAGAACCCGAGTCCGGGTGCAGGCTGGCCTTTGCTGGAACAGATTTTAATGCAAAAGCTAAATGTCAGCTCATAAATATTTAGCTCAAGATATTTCCACAGCAAATTTGCTCAGCAGGGGCTGAGACAGAGTTAGGAGCGAGAAGGTAACAAGAAGGGAGCCTGATTCTCATTCACACCCAGGCCCTTTTATGTGGCTTTAAAGCCCCTTTGCACTGCCAGTGTGGTGCGAAGGGGTCTTAGTGGACATAGAAGACGGTTCATATTTCCTTAACAAAGATGGGGCCAGATTTGATGGTGATGTAAGCAGTGGGGAAAGCTCCGTGTGGGTGTAAGCTGATCAGAACCCAGCTGAGCGTGGTAAAGTTGTGTAATGAGCACCCATCGTGCATGCGATGGGAGTGCAGGAGCTTGGGAAAGCAGCCCCCTCACCCTCCCCGAGTGCAATGCAGAGCAATCCTGTCCTCACTGGATCCTGTACCTTCCAGCTAGCCCTATGTGGTGTGTACCCTACACCCATTTTCCAACACCCCCCCACCCAATGCCAGGGCAGTGCCGCATGAGCCATCTTAGGGATGTTGCTGGCAGGACAGGGGGCTCGGTCACGGGGCTGCCATCAGAGACAATGTGAACCACGCGGCTAAATCCTCCTCGCTCCACTGGCAGCTTCCGATGGGGAACGGTCTTGTGCCAGCCCGGCTGCAATTCCCAGCTCTGTCCCCCCCAAGCGAGGTGAGATGCTGACAGGGCATCCCTGGCGTGTGTGCGCTGCTGGGCGGACATGATGACCCGGGCTGCGGCAAATCAGTGGTGAGTCAGACTGCAGATGGCCCAGGACTAAGTGGAATCGAGTTGGCATTTAAAGGGCTGGGGTGCTGGGCAGTGCTAGCACTTTGCATCGCCCTGTGGAAGAACCAGCTTGACCCTGCTGGTGGCTTCCATCTTGCAGCAGCAGCATCACCGACCCCTCCGGTGGCCCTGTGCCTCCTTTGCTCAGTTCAGGAGGGTGCTGACGGGGAGTCCTGTCTGGCAATGAACCTGCAGGACAGCAGCCAAGGTGCATGGAGGAGATCGCCACCAGGCTTCCAGAGGGAAGCAGAAGGCCCAGGCACCCCCTGGGAGGAAAGAGGAGATCATGTGCGGAGTCAGAGAGGAACTGGATCAACCTACTGAGTGTAAAGTCTCTTCCCCTCCTCTCTGCCACCTCTAGGACAAGGCCAGATCCTTTCCTGAAGGCGTCCCTCTCCGGAGCTGCATTGCAGCACTAGGAGATGCTGAGTTTACCACCTAGAGAAGCCAATACAGCTGTAAATTACAACCCTTTCACAGCAAACTCCGGGTGCTTTCCAGCAGGACCAGGGCTTGGCTAATGCTGGACACTACTGGCTGAGTCAATAACCTAGCAGGCCACTGGCCATGGCCATTCCCTGGGAAGGCCCGGGAAGAAAGCAGCTGAGAATAACCAGATAACAATAGCTGGCTAGAGCTAGCCGCCCCCAGCCTGCCCGGCGCTCACTTTCCATACCAAGCTGATACAAACTTAGCTGCAGAATAGCTGATTTACATGGAAACTGGGGGTAGGAGATGGGAGCTGCTTTGCTGTTTAAATTAACATCACCTTTCCCTTCAGTTTGCAAAGCTTGGAGGCCGACGCTCTCCAGTTCTCAGCCGGTAACCCATCCGCTTTACAACATGTGCTTTTACTCCCACAAGGAGGGAAACTGTATTTACCAAGGGGCCAGTTTTATTCTTTGCTGAGCTGCTGGGTAAGATCTTGGAGATGTAGTAGCCAATGTCATCTCCAAGTCATGCCTGGAGTTCGGTCCATCTGTCCGTTAAGCTGCTGTTCTCTTCAAGTGTGATCCTCCCATCTTAACTTACCTGGGAGATGACACTTCCCGTCCTGTTGCTGTGAGATCTAGCAGCCCATATCTTTGTAATTGGATCAACTCCGGTATTATGCCCAGGCAGCCTCTTTGGGAATTGCTCTTAGATGCCACCAGATTCCACCCCACATCTCTTTGAAGGTAGCATCCCTTTGCTGCAGTCAGAACACGAGGACAGGCGGAGTAGGTAGGGAGATGGACAGACTCTGCAGAATTCTCCTCCCATTTTGAGTGACTATAGGATTCTTCTTCACTTCCTGTCTCAAACTGCTGTGTAGTGTAGGTCAATAGCTGGATAAGGGGATTCAAATCAAAACTCAGACCTCTCCAGAGACATGAATTT